AGTCATAGCCAACTGAAACAAGAGCAGCGTACACATTGCATAGGAACCAAAATCTCTTGCACATGGGCTTTTGACCAGAGTAGGAAACAGGCAGTGGTGCTCTACTCAAAGATGGCGGCCAACTGTGCCACTCTGAATGTGTGTTGCACTCCACAGTCCTGCCAATAATCCAATCTCTGCCATCAGGAAACTTTCAGGAGCCAATAATCCAATCTCCCCCATCTCCTGAAAGTTTCCTGATGTGGGAGATTGGATTATTGGCAGGACTGTGGAAAGCCACGCACATTCAATGTGAAACAGTCAGCCACCATCTCTGAGCCAGGCACCACTGCCTGGTTCCTACTCTTCAAAAGCCAACGCACAAGATTTGGTTGCTATGCAATGAGTATGCTGCCCTTGTTTCCGTCACCATGACTGAACTCTTTAGAATTGGTCCAAAGTCCTGCTCTCTACATACATGTATGCATACAATAATATATAACCTTACCACATTCCATTTTAAAAGCTCCTTAATTTCCCATTGACTACAGGATACAATAATTAAAAGTATTCAGTATTCTCCGGCCTCATCCCCTCTCACTATAGCCCATCTACCCTAGGCTTCTCATCATTGCCAGAATGCAATGTTCACTCTAGCTGTAATATCCTTCTCCCAGCAGCCACCATTTTTCTAACCTGAATGAGTCTCCTGCCCCACCCTTCACCCCACAGCCACCCCACAACTTACCATCGCCTGCCACCTCCATACTGAACTTCGACAACCACTAAAGTGAATCAGAACTTGGGTGACTCCAAACCCTATACAGTGTGATAAGAAAGAGCTGTAAATGACACAGGCACATTAATTCATTATGCTAAGGAGCAATTCTTGAAAGTGGTTCAAATTTGGGGAACTCTGTTCATATCCATGGATAGGATGCCATGTGAGTTCCCTAAAGTTTATGATTGGAAACCTATTCAAATAAGGCAAATGTATTTAAAACATAAAAAATGAATGACACAATTTTATACAACTCTTTACCACCTCCAACCACCAACACCTGGCCCTGTTCCCGATGTAGACTATATAATAAATGTGAGCCAAATCTGGCCACTCTAGAGGTATGAGAGGCCAAACCCAATGCAGGACAGTAGATGAATGCTCTGGGCTCTACAGGTATGTCTCTGAGACCCTTCTCTCCCATTGGCCAGCGTCCTTGGGTCCATGAAACTAGTCTAATTGACTTTAGTCAAGGAAAACCACCCATTTTTTATCATGAAACATAATAGTCATCTATTCTAATCAGGAAAAAATGATGTGAGATGACAGAGCTGAAGGCACTAGTTCAAAATCCTATTCAAGATTTGAGAAATCTATGTTCAGAGTAATAAGAACATTACTTCTTAAGAACACCATGCACTGATGAGATTTCTGAATATGTAGCAAGAAGGGGGCAGTATAGCAACTTGCTCCAAATGAATTACCCCATGGAGACCGTCTATTCTGAAAGGCACCTGTTACATTTCACACCTTGTCTCTGCTCTCAAGTCTTCCTATCAACATAACAATAATTAACAGCTAACACTAAATAATGCAATGTCAGCTGTTCTTCAAAGTACTCTGTATATATGATCTCACCACAATCCCAGAGGTAGATACTATTATTCCCACTATATGGATGAAAACACTGAGACATAGTGAAGTTAAATAACTAGTCCAAGATCTAGTAACTTACTCCCTCCTTAGCCAAGCTGGATGCCTCCCATTACCTGCAATTTACAGCGCCAATTCTTGAGTATCCATAGGCCCCAAATTGTTACTCAAAGCTTCCATTCTCCAACACCCACCCCCCAAGTCTCCATAACCTTAAACTCCCATTAAATACTTTCCCTGCTTTGTGCCTGCGCCAAGAACAGGTGTGGCACAGTAGTAGTCACATTTTGCTTGCAAATATTTTTTGGCCTACATGAGGGTTTTACTTTTAAACTTAAGATGAAATTTTCAAGTCAGATTTCATACTAAAAATCAGATGTGCGGCTAGTGAAATTTTATTTGGAATTCCAAAGATCTGAATCTAGGCCCAAATTCTGAAGAGAAACAATCCGATGGAGCATAGCTGCCCGCACTGGACAGGGCTTGCTTTTGCCAGTTCTCCATGGTTGCTGTGAGTCAAAGTAGGCCAGCTTCACTTGCTTACATTACTGACCTGGCCGCTGAAGGCCTTTGCCATCTTGCTCTGAAACAACCATCTTTTACCCATTTAAATCCCACCCATCCTCCAAGACTAACCCCTTTATTATTTCCTAATTATTCCAGTCGAACTTGACCCCTAGCCTCTTCGAACTCCCACAGCATCACACTACCCCTTACAGTTGTGTACATGCTTCACTGTCTCCATTAGACTGTAAGGAACTTAGTACCTCTATTTTGTTCATCTTTGTGTCCCCCACAAAAGCACTTTAGATTACATAGGACAGGCGAGCAGGTAGGCAGATAAAGTTCCCAATGTTTGTTAAAATACATTTATGGATATACACAGAACTAAATAGAAACTCTGACTTAAGTTTAACTGACCAACTTTGTGATCGTGAACAACTAAACTGGACAAAGCATCCAAGGTTCTAGGATTAGAGTTCTAGATAAATAACGAAGCCTGCATTGATGCTAGAGAAGTAATTACATATAGAGTTTTTATCCTCTCACCCTGCATGTCCCTGTCTACCTCTTCCTTACAGAAAAATCATGAGACAAATTGATTGATGTGTTGTTATTTTTTTAATAAATAGAAGCCACATCACTTCATTTGTTACAGCAAATAATACGAGGCAATAATTCAAGAGGGCCCACAAAGCTTTGTCATCCACAGAATATGGAAAGGATAAGGACCTTCAACACTTCAGCCTTTAGTTAACTTTTTCTTTTGATCTCTGCTCTCCCACCCACATCAGCATGCTACTTCCAGAATGGAACTCTGTCTTCAAATCTTGTAATAGTTAGGAAGCTACTTTATCAGCTTGCCTTAATAATGGAGTCTGGAGAGCCCTAACTTAGCTGAGGAACCTAGACAAGTCTTCTTTGATTTCAGCCTCATCCCAAGGCCCATGAATGTTTTCTTTAAAGAGCTGCAGGCGAATGAGGTAGAAAGGGCAGAGACACGAGATGGAAACAAGCAGAAGGGCAAAGAGTATGGCTCCCACACCACTGATGGAGAGCAAGCCTCCGAAGGCTGAAAACGCGAAAAGCAGTGTGACCCCCACATAGCTGCGGGGGGTACATGCCTTCAGTTTCTTCTGCAACATGGGCCACAGGGCAAAAATCTGGATGGCAAACGTCACCATGATGAAGGCATGCAGGGACCGGGGCAGGCGTGAGGCCAGGCAGACAGAGGCAAAGATCGCCATGTTCAAGGACAGCGTGCTGGATACAATGGCAGCATTGGCACCATAGTCGAAGAAGATGAGGTGGCCTAACAGCATGAAGACTGACATGGCATAGATGGTGTCAGTGCTGACAGACTCTGTCAGGGTCTTCAGCACTGGTGAAAAACCATACGTAAAAGTAATGAAAACCAGCGCACTCTTCAGGTCTGCCCACCGCGTCCGTCCACTCTTCTTCCGCCCTTCACCTCCATCAATGAGATCAAACAAAACATAGCCAATCAGTGAAGAAGCCAGGCCAGTCCCAAAAAGCCAGTGAGGGGCCAGAAGACCCTCGTCCATATACCACCAGATAACCACAAAAACACATACACTGCACAGCTGCTGTATCACCACACTGGACTCAAACACCACAGCCCAATACTGGTATTTCCGGGCATAGATGTTTTTCCGGAGCTCTTCCAAGAACCGCCGATCCACATAGTTATCAGGGAATGGCTGTCGCTCATACAAGACCTTCTGCCACTTTGCCTCCTTGGTATTAGTCACTGGTTGGTCACACATTATCCTTTCCCTCAAATTCAGGCCAGTTCAATCCCCCTTGCAGAAGTCCATGTGGTTCTGGTTCTTTACGAAGTTTTGAAGTAAGACTTCTCTGGAAATTCCATGCTGTACTGTAGTTGATATTCTACCGACCTTCCCTTGCTTTCAAAGGCAGCAACCCAGGCTAGGCCTGCAATAGATGAGTTTGTTCTCTGTGGCAGGACAACACAGCAATTTCCTAGAAAAAGAAAGACTATGAACCTATGAAAGTCATGAAAAGTCAAGGAACAGACTGAGTTAAAAATCAAACCAATTAAGCCCACTACAAGTCTGAGCAAACTATATGTGGTGGCCATCTCATAATTATGAACATTAAAACTTCATTTCACATTTTAAAATTATAATCCCTTGAACAGTAATAGTCACTATCATTAGCTAGCATTTATTGAGTACCTGCTAAGTGCTAGATGGCTTATGTACCGTCTTTCATTTAATTTTCACAATCTTTCCAAGTTGTATTAGTCCCACTTTAACTAGTAAAGACTGAGGTTCCAACTGCTTAGGTAACTCTAGCCCAAGGTTAACAGAGTGATAAATAGTGGAGCCAGGATTCAAACCCAAGTCTGATCCCAAAGCCTGTGTCTCACATCATGTCTCCCTGTAAGCCAGTTCTTAACTGCTGGTTCACATACTCCTGAATCTGTGGATGGGCTTCAGAGGGGCCGATCTAAAGACAACAGTAAACTGCACAATACAGAAAGGTATGAACTCTGTGGTTTATTTAGCAAAAACCAAGGACTCAAACTAAAAAGTCTTCAACCATTAACTGAGCTTAACACCCTTTAAAGAGCTATGTTCCGACTTATAACCGCGGAAACTATTGTGAGGACCGAAGAAAATGATCACTCCTTTTTCACAACAGGAAAAAGAATCAGAAACACATAGACCAAAGCAGCAAATCTGCGAAGAAAATTCCTATTGCCCAACCTTTATTTCTTCCATGGAGACCACGATAGGTTTTGCTTCACAAGCCAGACACCCTAGGAGCCCCCTCACTGTAGCAGGGACCCCAGCCCGCAGCCACCCGGTGCGCCGAGCCGATGTGGGCAACGCCCGCCAGCAGGGTTGGGGCGGAGGTAGTGTGTCCCTGGGGGCACCCTACAGACCCTCCCGGGTCTCCCCTGCCCGCCACCGCCCCTCACCCAGCCGTGGGCCTACGGTGGATGGCAGAGGAGAAGGGGACCCGGAAACACCGACGCCCACTAGGAACCCACCTGCCCGCGGGCTCCCAAGGGTGCTCGGCCAGGGGAGGGCGGCCGCCCGCCTCCTTCCCCATCCGGGACGCCGGGGTCGCGACGGCGACCGAACAGTTCCGGTTCCGCCCCCACCTCCACGGCAAGAGCGTCCTTCTTCTCCTGGTGAGCACTACGAGAACGCTGCTGCCCCCTCCTGGCCGCTCGGAGGACCTCCTGGCTGTTCTTCCTGGGACCGGTCCGAAGCGGAACGCCGGGAACTTGGGAAAGCTAATCCCAACAGAAAGACAGGTAGTGTGGCATCAAGGTCCGGGTGAAGCAAGTGAGGATAGGGATAGTGGCTGGCTGGCAGAAGAGAGATAGTAACGGCTACTTTTATTGAGCTCCTATTTTGAAGTCAGGTCCTCAACTTGAGACTTCCTGGCATCCATGAGTTCTTTGGGCAAGTATTCACTGAATACCGGCAAGTGTCAAGCACTGCTGTAAGTGCTCCTGATAAAGCAGTTAATTGAAACGGACCAAAAAAAAAAAAAAAAAAGAAATCCCTGTACTCGTGGAGCTTGCTTTCTTGTCCTTTGACGTTCATAGTAATGATATCACGCTCCTTTCACAGAGGGCAAAACTGAGGCTCAGAGAGATTGTGATGTGTCGGAGCCCACACAGCTGGAGAGTGGATGGACCGAGATTAATACCAGTTCTCTCTAACTTCAAAGCTTGGTTCTTTCCTCTTTGCCTCCCAGAATGGGTGAGAGTGGAGGACCCTGTGGCTGAAAACATAGCCAGAGGCTTGAAACAGGGGGTTGCTAATATTCCTCTGGATTCATGGAAATATTAGGGGATGAATAAACAGATGGAAGTAATGAGAAGCAAAGAGATATAGTGGAACACAAGATATAGTGGACACAAAAGTCAGCAAACCTGAAACCACTTACTAGCTGTGTGGCTCAGGGGAAATCATACTCTCTAGATTGTGATTTCCTCATCTGTTACGTGAAGACAACAGTACTTGCTCTTGGCTACTTTATGGGATGGTTATAAGGGTCAAATATAAAACATATAAAAATGTTTTGTAAAATATTGACTGTAAAGCATGGCTGCTATTAGATGAGTGTGGTCAGCGTAATGCTAGCAATGACCAAGTGTGACAAATTCTGCAAACTGACCGCTTTTCCTTTCTCTCCAGGTTTCTGTTCCAAAATTTGACAAGATTCCTTGGCTTAGTGAGGCCAGCTTCATAAACAAGCCATTAGTGCTCAGCCTCCCCAAAAGGTAATAGCTCAGTCTCTGAGGGCAGAGATTTCAAGAAAGGTTTCACAGTGGATGATTTCTTAATAAGGGGTGGGAAGTAGTTATCAGAGGGGCACACCTGAGCAGTTGAGAAACCCAAGTCAAATGCTCCGAAACCAGCAATAGCCTGCATTTCCCAGACAAAAGTGAGCACTGAGTACAGACCTGGCCTGGGGAGATATTGTCCCAAATAACTTCCCTCTCTACCACCACCTCTTAACTCTGCCAGAGAATTTTGCCTCTGGACACTGCCTCTCAAGACGTGCACTGGCCTCCTTTTCCCTCCTCACCCTGCCTTTGTTCCTTTGCCTTCGTTTGAAATTTTCAGATTTCACCCATCAAGAGCCTAGAGCCATGCATTCCAATCGTTATAAAGTAACAACTCCCTAAATTTGACTTTGAAGCAATCTCTCCCAAAGCCTCCAGTCCCTCCTCTTCCAAGCAAACTGCTATAGAACACATATTTCTGGGCTTTGTTTGTTTGTTTTAATATGAGGAATTGGTGTGTAAGGAGCATTTCAGTGCTGCCACTTGAAATAACTGTGTTTCCTCATGCTCCTGCCTTCCCCCGTTTTTGATGAGATGGTCCCTGGATATACTCCTGCACTGCAAAGGGGAAATGGAAGGAAGGGTGGATGTGAGATTGTGAGATAACGTGGGAAGTGAATGGGAAAAACCAGGAGGAGGCTGGGGAAAGGGCTGGCCAGGGAGGGGGAGGGAAGTTCCTAGGCACATCACAGACTTAAAAGGGGTCGGCTCACTGGCATGTAAGGCAGCTTACAAGATAGGTTGTACTCCTGTTGGTAACTGTCAGGTACCCTCCTATCCCTAGAAAAGTGACTCTCCATGAGGGACATTTCTGTGGCTCCCTCCTCATCCCCATGTCAATAACACATACCATGGCTTCATCTGCTGCACCTTTTAAAAAACTACATTCTCAGTAAGCTGTTATGCAGTTTTGTGTATTTTCAGAGCACCTTCAAGTGCTTGTTGTTCGCTTCTGTTATTTTTACATAACTTTGAACATATGTAAACCCAAACTAGTGTCTTAGCATAAAGCAGGCAGGCAGAGGTTCACAAACCCAAAGGCTTGCTTATAAAATAATACCAGGTGATATAGTTCTTATTAAGAATGGTTAGAACACCAGGGATCAACACGAGGAAGGACGCTTTAGCACCTTCTATTGGTGGGGCAGGGGCACCAACTCAGGCACTTCGGAGCATCAGATGGGGACACAGATGAGTAGAGCTGGCCAAATGGGGACTGCAGTGAACAGAGCTCCCTTACCCCCATCTAAAGGGGACAGCCCACACTCAACCCCAGCCAGTGTTGCCTGTGCATACCTTAGTCCAGTTGCCAGAAATACTGGTTTTTCTAACTATGCCAGAAATTTGGATTTTTATGTGAAATTGCTAGTGTTTGACCTCTAACAGGGTAACGTCCCACCATCCCATCCTACCCACATGCCTATTAGACCTGCCCCTCCAGCCAGGAACAAAGTGTCCCTGGTGCCTGGCTAACTCCCGCCCTCTTGTTCCTTCATTATACAAACCTTCCATGTTATTGTAGTTATTAGTTGCCATCAAGTTGATTCTGACTCATGGTGACCCCATGTGTGCAGAGTAGAACTGCAGTCCATAGGGTTTTCAAGGCTGTGACCTTTTGGAAGCAGATCACCAAGCCTTTCTTCCATGGCATCTCTGGGTGGGTTCGAACTGCCAACCTTTTGGTTAGTAGTCCAGCACTTAACCATCTGCACCGCCCAGGGACTCATAAGCCTTTGAGAGGGGTGGAAACGGGGAGGAGGGCTTGAGGAGGGCAGGCCCAGAACACAAGTGGGCATCCTCAGCAGCTGTTCACAGTCACAGCCAGGGGCTGAGCGTTAGACTGTACATCTGTAGACAGCCATCTGGGAAGGGAAGGTGGTGGTTTGTCCTCCACCAGCCAAGCTGAAGCAAATCACAGGAGAGGTTACCTAAGGTGGGCAGTGAAGCTCAACTCATTGCTATTCTGAGAGGATTCAGGGCTGCTATTTCAACCCTGGAGCCCTGGTGGTTAAGAGCTATGGCGAGCTATGGCTGCTAACCAAAGAGCTCGGCAGTTCGAATCCCCCAGCCGCTCTTTGGAAACTCTATGGGGCAGTTCTGCTCTGTCCTATGAGGTTGCTATGAGTTGGAATCGACTCGATGGCAGTGGGTTTGGTTTGGGTTTATCTCAACCCTTGTTAAGAGAAATGGAGCTTACCTACCTCACAAGAATTCTGAGAAAATGAGCTGGACCATGCCTGTGAGGTACCCCGAGTTTTCAGGGGTACAAGATAGGAATGCAAAGTATTTTGAAAGGATGGTTTGTTTCAGTGTCAACATTTTTTAGGAGTAGAAACTCCTCATCTGGCCAGCGCCCTGGGTTCTGGGCTATTTATTTTTGGCAAAAGCCGTTTCTGAGTCAATGACCCTAGAAAAAAGGTCTAGACGTGCCTTAAGTATTAGATAGCTTTGGGCAAGCAGTTCTAATGCAGAACAGTCCGAAAAATTTAAAGGACATTTAGTAAAATGTGCTCAGAGTGCCCCAGACACACCTGTGAGGCTGGGGAGGAGAGACATGTGCCTGGCACAGACCCACACTGGCCTGTTAACCTCCACTCCCTTCAAGAAAGATTCTCTCAGGTTAGCCTGACTATGCTGAAGCCACACTCATCATGCATCTCCAGAGGCCCTTCTGTTCACACAGAGGTCCTGTTTATTTAAGAGTATCATTTCTTAAGCAGTTCTAACCTGGCTTTCTGGTCTTTCCTGGTCAGCATTTGGGACAGGTCCAAGACAAAGGCAGTGAAGGAGCTCCTTCCAACCTGCCACCCTGGTCCTGCAGGGCCCAGGGAAATGGTGAGGGGGAATGAAACAATAAACGCTTCCTGAACACCAAACTCCTTTCACATGTCTTAGTTATACATGAACAATGGACAATGGAATTCTTCCTCATTAGAGAGAAGAGGTGTTCTTGGCGTAACTACCAGCATTCTGAGTTTCCACGTCATGGATGCCAGGGGCATGCACAGTGCTGTACGCACAGGTGACTCATGCTCACCAGGCCCCACACGCCGTGGCCCCTTCCACTATAGTGATCTGAATCACAGCAGCCAGCAAGGAGGCCATAGGCAGGTCACCCTGTGAAGAGAATGGTGTGCCCCTGCAGCATCACTGCATCACTAGCTGACGGGAAGGAATGTTTCTGGAGGAAAAGAGTGGTTGGAGGGAAAAGATGATGTTCCATGGAAGGAAATGGGTGGACTGTGTCAGCGGGCAGAGATACCTACTCCAGGAAAGCAGGACAGGAGTGAAATGACAGGCACTTGTGAAACGTCAGTAACTTCTGTCCTTTCAGAAGGAGATTTGGGGTGTACTATACTCATCAGCCACTCCTTGGAAACCCTATGGGGCAGTTCTACTGTGTCCTGTAGGGTCACTATGAGTCGGAATCAACTCGATGGCAACCGATTTGGTTGCCAGAACTGGCGCTGGTTAGTTCCAAACAAAAGGGAGAGAGAAGCCAAAGGGACTTAGGAGGGTGAAACCATCTTTTGGGAGCTCCTTTATGGCCTGGGCCCTCCAGGACTGGGGTGGAGGAGGAGGGCTCCTAGGGGTGTTCTCTCTGAAACAACCAAGGGTCTGGCTTTTCATCCCGAAGCCTATGGTTCTAACTTTCTCTTGTTTCAATTATCTAGGTCTCCTCAGTCCTCTACTACTATTCTGATTTCATCCAAGAAGGATATGAATTTGCCATTTTTGTTTCAAGTTCCAGATGCCTTGTCTAAGGTATTCAGCTTTTTAAAAATTGAAATGAAACCAATAGCACTTCTAAGATGGCATAGAATGTGAATGCGAAGGCATTTTCCTGTTGTTTAAGCATAGCCCTGTGCCTGGCACATCATCCATCTTCAATAAATACTTGTTGCGTGAAATAAATGAGCACCCCAACCACCCCATCTCAAGTGCCTTAGGGCCCCAGTCCTCTAGAACTAAGAATAAAGCTTGTCCTGTGAGGATTTTTATTTTGAAATAAGTAGAGAAATACTCAGATTTTCATACATATACTCGTTTAGTTTATTGCACAGTAGTCCTGGCGAGGCAGTAAGACCTCAAGACATTGATTTCAAACCGGAGAATCAGAATTAACAATTACATTGTTAGTTTAATGGTTAGAGTAAATCTATAGACTCCAGGCATTCAACTTTAGTGAGTGGTCTCGGGAGGACGGCTTAACCACATTTCAAACTCAGAGGAGGTCCCCTGTATCTAGAATCTTGAGGTTGGCTGTGGCAGGCAGTATCTTAGCAGGCTCTCAGTCTTCAGGAAGAGAGTCAGAGAGGCCTTTTGCCATTGCCTTGTTTTTGGTGAATATACCAGAATCCATGGCTTATATGTGACTTTTTCGCCTTGGCTTTGCATGGTATGGGCCAGGTGACGTCATGCTTAAGACTACTGTGTTACATCTTTTTTTAAGGTCAGCCAGATGGTGTAATGTTGCATCTTTCTTCAAGATTAGAGATTCAAGGGGTTGTTTATGACACATTTAAATCTCAAGGCCAATTTACCAAAATTTAGTCCTATGTTACATTTTCTTTATAACAGTATGCAGGTGCACAGCTATCTTAAGAAGAGTGGTTACTACAAACCTCACATGCTTCTATGTTTCTGTTTCTAAATTCAGAAAGTTTCTAATCCTAACATCACATTGTAAGTGATTTGTATGTACCTGGTTTGAGAGCAACACGAAAACATGCATAACAAAACTATAAGGTTAGAATCATAAAAAGGAAAACCAATAAAATAAACATTTCGTGATCTACCCCGTGAAGATTGTGAAATCTTCAGTGACCTGAACCAATCCTAATTTCTGGAGTCCCTGACACTTCCCCAAACTGAATTATTCATGTCTCCCACCTACAACCCTATACCTATGGAATTTTAAATTAAAAACTCCTCATCTCCCTTCCACCTCACAGAATGTGTAAAAGGATCTTGGTGTAATCAACTGCTCAGCTACCCTCAGTGACACTGCATGCTGTATGGAGGCTTCCCTGACGTTAGTGGTGCATCTCTCGAGGTGGTGCATCTCTCGAGGAGGGAGCTAGGCGGTCTCTTCACCTGAAGAATTGTGCATCTCTCTGGGCACTGCTGTAGGCAGCGAATGCAGAGCTGTTCCTAGCGTACTTGGCACAGTGCCCGACCCCTAGCAAGAACTCAGTACATGTGTGAGCCACAAGTATTAGGAGCCTGGATGCTTACCTAGCCCTTTGTATTTGCTTTAATATAGTTCAGAGACGAGTAAGTCACAGTTGCAGCCTACACAAATGAGTGGGCAGACTGGACAGGTACACAACAACAGAATGAGTGTCATAGAGCAGGATGAGGTACTTTGAGGGGCCGGGGAGGGAAAGGTGGCCTCCAAGTTGGGAAAGGGGTGAGCAGAGGTGCAGCGAGTGAATAATTCAAGAAGGAAGTGGCATGTGCACTGGATCTTGCAGATATGCTTTTCACACGTGGGGGGAAGAGCCAGCAGAGGAGGAAGTGCTGAAAGGACTCTCAGGTGAAGGGAAGAGTGAAGACTCGGGAGACTGAAAGCGCAGGAAGTGGCTTGTCAAGGAACCAGCAGACAGCAGCGTGGGGGTACGGGGAGGGAACCAGGAGAAGGGTGGGCCCGGCCAGAGCAGAGAGGGCCCGAACGTCTAGAGCATGAGGAGACTTTCCAGGTTTGAGCCTAGGAGTGTCAAGGCCAGAGCTGTGACTGAGAGTCACCTCATTAACCCCCTAACACCTTGGTAACACCTGAACAAGTAGGTAACAGTGGCTACCAGGACATGGACTGAGGGGGATGAGCGGAGGCACGATGGGCCAACAATTGCTGCAGAATGAGCGAGAAGTCTTTCAGTCACTGCGTCTTTCTGAACTTCCTATTTAGGCAGGCTCTCACTGCCGCCGAGCGTCTCCTCATCCCAGGTCAGCTCTGGGTCTCAGTGCACGATCGCATTCTAGGCGCTAAGATTCTAGGCTCCCAGCTGGCCGGGCCAGTGGACGGGGTAGGAATGTGTTAGTAATGACGCGAAGTGAGAGGCCGTCCTCCAGCCGGGCTTAGCGTTTCTCGTCTGCAATACTCACCATTGGCCACTAGATGCCAGCCAAGAGCAACAGCTGTTCATCCAATAGGGAACGCTGGAGGCCAGTCTCGGGGCAGACCCGTGAGAAATCAGGAATACATGCCTCCTACTATATGGTCGCTGTGAGTCGGAATCGACTCGACTGGACTGCAACGGGTTTAGTAGAGAAGAACAAAGCACCTCACCCTGGCCTTACTGGGGGATGACCAAGGCCTTCGTGTTTTTGACCTTCAGCTGGTGTGTGTATGAGAAAGAGAGTCGCCCTTGCAGACTGGAAAGGCAGATGGGGAACCCAGGATCCTTGCTGTGTTGGTGACACCTGCAGGTATCTCAGGCCTGCCTGGCCTCCTCAAATGTAATTCTAGCCTCGAGGGTCTGCTGTGAGCATGAAGGCATGCACATGGACACTGTGAGATAAACACGGCTCAGCTGGCAGCTGCTCCTTTGTAGAAAGAAACTGTGTTGTGTTGTGTCTCAGGGGAGTGGAATGCACTGTGGACACTATCTGTTCCTGCAACCTGCACATCAGGTACCTGCCAAGAGGCTGCTGGCAGCCCGCAGCCAGCGAGAGGACCTGGCCCCCATGCGTAGGCACAAAGGTCCTGCCACCTGGCTTGCTTTCTCTTCACCGTCACCGGTCAAAGGGCAGAACTTTGAACAGCCACATTTCAAACGGCACTCCTCCCCAACCCAGGAGCAGCCCCATGGCAGATGCAGTGTACATGTGTCTGGAGCAATACTACCTAATGAATAGATGGAGAGGAAACAGGCTCAGAGACAAGGAGAAGGAGAGACAGCAAGATAACAGAAGCCTAGACAGAGAGACAGAGAAGTAGAGGGGCAAAAAACAGAAAAGGAAAGGCAAAGCTGAGAAAGAAGACAAATAAAAAATTAAAAGACAAAGAAATTAAGCTAAGCCTTTCCCCATTTTTAAATAACTCCTGTGGAGAGGCTTGTTTGCTAGGCCCAACTTTCACCTGCCATTTACAGGCATCAACCTCCAACTCTTCAAGATGCAGTGAAACAGGAAAGTATATTGTAGTAGCTGAACAATTGAGCCCAAGAGGTGATTTACTCAGCGATCCAGAGCCAGACAGAAGCAGATGTGTGTGGGTGATCTGGAGCTCTGCAGCTGGACACCTGAAAACACTTTTGCCCACTGCTGGGGGTGGGGTGTAAATTTAGCTGGAGCTCCTCAATCGCTAGTAGATTTAAAATGCTGCCCTCGCCCTCTTCCATCCTTGTCCCCACTTCTCTCTACTATCTTTGATATGGGTTTGTTGTTCCAATCCAATGGGTCAGAGTAAAGATGGGAACATATTTACTTTGTCTTTAGCAGACCTATGGCAGAAAGCCCTGGCTAAAAAGAATGCACGGTAGCAGAGGCACAGCTGGAAAATGTAGAGGGTGTTGCCTTCCTATCTTCTGTCTTACAATTTCTCAAGAACTCTTTTTTTTTTTGGTTTTCTCTGGTTGACTATCAATTTTGAAAGCTTGTGACCACCAAGTAACCTACTTTAAATACCCCCAAGTCCTTTTCCTGTTTACATTGATCAAACACATATTACCACAAATACATTTTTTAAAGGAAAGTAGTAACGGACATCACTGACCTGAAATACTGATGGTAGTAAAACCATGAATGGTGGATACATGACTGTCTATTATTTTGTGTGTGTTTGATATTTTTTCCTAATGAACAGTAATAGCATTTTTTAAAACTATATTTAGCTTTCCCCTACATGTCTGTCAGTTTGTTGTACTGTGGGTGCTTGTGTGTTGCTGTGATGCTGGAAGCTATGCCACCGGTATTCAAATACCAGCAGGGTCACCCATGGTGGACAGGTTTCAGCTGAGCTTCCAGACTAAGACAGACGAGGAAGAAGGACCTGACAGTCTACTTCTGAAAAAAATTAGTGAAAATCTGGGCAGTGAATAAGGAAGACTGAAGAAGAATTGATGCCTTTGAATTGTGGTGTTGGCGAAGAACATTGAATATACCATGGACTGTCAAAAGAATGGACAAATCTGTCTTGGAAGAAATACAGCCAGAATGCTCCTTAGAAGCAAAGATGGCGAGACTTTGTCTCACATACTTTGGACATGTTGTCAGGAGGGATCAGTCCCTGGAGAACGACATCATGCTTGGTAAAGTAGCATATGTATATGTGTGTGTATACATATGTTTACACACACACACCTCTTTTTCAACTCAACAGCAACAGACATATCTGTTGCCCTCGATTCAAAAAAGAGGAAGACCCTCAATGAGATGGATTGACACGGTAGCCACAATAATGGGCTCAAGCATAACAATGATTGTGAAGATGGAGCAGCACCGGGCCGTGTTTCCTTCTCTTGTACATACGGTTACTATGAGTCGGAACCAACTCAACAGCACCTAACAACAGCAACAGGGTCTTTTAGAACATTGAAAATGGTTCTCTGGCCACTAATTTTTGAGCCTTAAGGGGTATAAGAATCATATGGGTCCTAAGATTCCACCCTTTCTCTGAGGAAATGTAGTTTTTCTTTGACTCTTTTATCCAAAGAACTTTCTGGCCCATTGCCACTAAGTAAAAGTGCTCTTGGGCAAATCTTGTAGCCTTTCTGGGCCACAGTCTCCTCATTGCGTTAATTGGAAGAGTTGAACTAGGTGACCTGTGAGGTCTCTCAGTTAAAAAGGAGAAAAGGAATAGAGGTGTCAGAGGCCAAGAAGGACAGAGGCAAGGCTGTCAGTGCTCCTCAAGCCATGCTCGCCACGTCTATTTTTAAAATCTCCATCTGTGCTTCCATTTTTCAGCTTTTGTTATGTAGACAGGTGTGTGTGTGTGTATGTGTGTGTGTGAAGGATACAAGAAGGCGAAGGACTGAGGCCATGAGCCAGATCTTAGGAACCACAGCAGGTGCTGACCTTGGATGATAGGATATTTTCAGTTGTGAAATGTGAAGAGCAGGCCTTGGCTTCTGGGGACTGGCTGAAATATGCATCATACCTTGGCCAAGCTACAAACAGGTTGCTGTCACTCTCCCATCACAACTGCCATCTGTTGCCCTGTGGACAGCTGCTTGGGAAATGAGAGCCCCGTTAAGATTTCAGAGCCTCTTCTCTTGGTGGCTCTGACTCTAAAGATGATGTAACCAGGGGCTTGTGCTGTGAACCTTGGCCAACTCATTCTGGATTCCTGCTAGTGCTGCTGAGCTGGCCTTAAGGAAAGTAAGAGTGACAAAGGAAAGAGAGTACTGCAGAAGGAAAGGTCCTGAGAAGGAAAGCAAGACAGGAGGGCAGAATCGGAGGCCTACAGAACACGGAATCCCAAACTGTTTGTAGACCATCTAGGCAGGACTTACCCACCACCGCTACCTCCCTTGCTGTGTAAACACTCCCCGGTGCTCTCACCCTCCTCTCCCCATGAGGAGGAGCTGAGTGGCTCTTCTTGGAGGCTAGGCTTCAGCTGACAGTGAGTAAGAGGTGGAGCCACTGCCACATTCCTTGCAGAGATGACAGAAGCCACAGATCAAAGATTGGTTTTCACCTCTCCACGTAAAGCATGGGCAGGATTAGAGCTTCTACCTCTGTCTTTTGGGTCACAGAGACTACTGTTGGGAGGGGAGGCCCAGGGAGTTTCCGTGATTGACCAAAGATGCTCAAGTCGCTCAAAGCTCCAGGCTAGAACAGAGCCTCTGGACTCCCTGCCAGTGCTCTTCCCCAGCACATTCTATAGAAAGAATTTGTTGCCCTACAACACTAATGTCCTGTGCTGTTTCCCTGCACAGAGTGTTAAAATAGTGATCTTCACGCACACTTATATTTTGTGTAATATGTGTCTATATACATGGCTGTAAGTTGGTTATGTCTGTATTTATACCAGATTGTTTAAAATGCCTACAATGGCTCATTCATTCAACTAACTTTTTCTGAACACCTGCTGTGTGCCAGGGATTGTGATCGGTTCTAGAAACACAAAGATGCCTAAGTCATGGCCCTTGCTCTTAAAGAACTCAGCCTGGTGCAGGAGATAAACACATAAAAAAAAAAAAAAAAAAAAGAACAAGAGTACATAATGCAGTGAAAGTTATGCCAAAGCTATGATAAAGTCAGAGAGGCAGACACCCTCCTCAGTTCAGGGAGGTGAGAGAGGGAGGAGGGGAAGGAGAAAGGTTTTTTGAGAAAGTAACACCTAAGCTATGGTTTAAAGGCTGAGGAGTTAACAAGGAAGGCAGGATAATACATAAAACATTTGGTCCTTTGGGTCCCAAGGACAAGGCTGTAGTCATCATGGTTGTGGTGCTCGGGGGCCACACTTACAGTTTCCGTTAAGGTGACCTGGAAAGACCCTGCCATGTACCTGAGCGATCCCGAATATGCCTGTTGCTTGATTGATAGGGAAAACGGTGGCTCCAGTCCCTGTAGGGTCTTGCAGTATTCTTATGCAGAAACCTGAAGTCTGGAAAAGGTGGAGGAAAGTAGAGGAATCAATTGCAGGGAAGATAAGATCTGCTTATAACTCTACTAAAAGCATGCCCACCTAAGCATTTTCCTACCCCACCTCCACCTGTCCAGGTCCTCCTCCTCCTTTCAGACCAAGTGCAAATGCCACTTCCAGGAAAGCTTTCCTGATTCCTCCCATCAGAAGTAGACTCTCACTTTCCTGAAGAACCACAGGTACCACTGCCTGCTCTCTGACACCCAAAGCATCCTACCTTGAAGCAAGGTTTCAGAAAGGGTTCTGAGTCTCAGACCTCAGGGATGTAAGGGATGGGGGAGGAGCCTGAGCTGCAGGGGATACCACCCCCAGGGCCTCAGATAACACATGGTAGAAAGTTGAATCAGCCCAGAAGCAGAGGAGTCCACACATGTCTCCTCTCTTGCCTCTCTTCTCCTTACCTTCCTCCTCCCAATCCAGCCATTCCAAACGACCCTCTGGAGCTTATTTGCTAGGTTATTCCCCCATATTGTTGCACAGTGTTTCCTGGGCTTGGAATGCCCTCCCCATCCCCACAAACACCTACTCAAGCTTGCCTGCTCTTTGAACTCTTCTCAGACTCTTCCCTGTCTGCCCCAGCCCCCAGCCCCGCCCAGGTGAGCTCAGCAGTTCCATTCGGTTTTACTGTGGCCTCACTATATTCTACAGCCTCTGTCAGTGCACCGTCAACACCATCGTACTTCTTGGTACACTGCCTGCTGGATGGTGAGCAGGTTGAGGTCAGAAGCTGTGTCGTATTCATCTCAATGTCTCCAGAACCTAACTGAATGGGCAGAGGAATGGATTTGTATTCTTCCCTTGTTTCCCTTGGGGCCAGGAACTCTGTCTTATTCAGCTTTGTGGCCCCATCACAGTGCCCTCCACATGGTGGCACCACAATGTTTGTTGTTTAATGAATGAGTCTAGTCATTCCCACTCATGCTTCAACATAGCAACCCACAACATTGCAATACTGAGTTGATTCTTTTAAAATGCTCTATAAAAATGAAATGTATTTTCAATATTTGTCAAATATTCCAACTTTGTCAAGAGTTTTCAGTATTGCCCCACCCAAGCGCCATGTCTGTCATAGGAGGAAGCCACCTGCAGACCTCTCCTGCAAAGGCACCTTAGGAGCACCCCTAAGCTCTCCCCAGGCTGTGTGGCTCTATACCCCTCTTAGTGTTCCCGAAACCTCCCAGAGCAGGAAGGCTCCAGGACAGCAGGAAGGGGCCAGGGCAAGGCCTGCACACACATATAGTGATAGGTCAATGAGCCAATCAAACCAAGGAGCAGATTTCAGTTGACAGTTGTCTGCTGGTCACCGCAGCCTCACTCTTCACCATATTCTACACTCACTGTGAACATAGCTCACAGCTGTTGATGTTAGTGACTGAAGAAGGGTGAGAGAAAATCCCCAAACACAGTTTCAGCCACAAGTTCCCATTTCTCCCTAACCAAACCTTGTACCAGAGGTGCTGATGAAAACCTTGTGTTCCAGGTGTTAGTGCTTCTAAGCCCTCTCTTTCACCCTTCAGCAGAAGGGAAATGAGAAAGCCATGAGCAGATGAGGCGTTCTCACCCTCCCTCCACTGGGTACTTCTTTGCCTGACTGAGCAGCCTCTGCGCCCAGAGGAAGGAGGGGTACATGGCCCACACACCAGCTCCAGTTTTGCTCAGGGCTTTACTTGCAGCTCCCAGGAGCAAGGAAGGGCTGAAGTGGTGCTGACCAGTGGATGCTGGAGAAGGGATGTGGGGCCAGAGTTAAAGTCTGAGAAAAGAGGATAATGACTGGGAGGGGCCAGGAAGGTTTGCAGGAAAGAAGTCTTCTCTTCATTCTTTCTTAGGCTGTTAGAGATCCTCAGCTGGTCCAGATGGCAGAGCCTTTGTGTGATATGGGGAAAATACACCATCTATTGGAAGTAGCAGCTCCTGGGCGCTCTCAGTGGGAAGCAGCGCCCCTGCTAGATTGCAGCCCCCAGTTACAGCTCCCTCTGTGAGCTGTCTTTGTACCTGCTCCGCTGTATGCAGGGGCCCGAGACCACCACTGAGGCCACCACAGAGTCTATGGCTCACTCCCTCCTGCCTAGGCCCTTTCTGAACCTACCAGCCTCAGCCAACCTCAGATTCAATGTCCACCCTGAATGGGGCTGAGACGCAAGCGTCCATCTCTGTTTTAGGAAAGGAATAACTGTTACCTCTCTCCCCACTCCACCCTTTTCCCACTTATTTGTTGCGTCAGGTGCCCCATTTCCTCACTTCTCTCTGTCTCTCCTTCCCCTCAGGTGAGCAGGAGCCAGAGTAACTCCGTGCTGCTCAGGAACAGGCAGCTGTGCTCCACATGTCGAGAAAGAAAAATGGTAGGCAAAGTGGGGTGGGGGGTGTCAGAGCTGGGCACAGTCACCTCCAGGGCAGAGCTCTGCCCTGCCCCAGCAAAGCTTTGTTGAGGAGACTGTGGTGGGGTCCCTTTCAGTGAAGACCTTGGAAAGGGCTGCAAGTGAGGAGCTGTTGGCCCTGAGAGCACCAGCAACTAACATGATATGATAAACCTTCCCTGTCTCAACAAGCCAAAGGTGAACCCAGGTAGGTGGGCCAGAGGGGAAGAGATGAGGTGAGATGAGCTGCCTCATTTTAGACTCCTAGGGTGACTGCACCCTCATGGAGTTCAGGTTCAGGGGGACATGGAGCTCCTTTTTCCTCCTTAACATCGCCCCAGCACAACACACGTGCATGCACACGCACACACACACACACACACACACAAAATCCTTCTCCACCATTACCACATGAAACAAGCACTTCATCTTTGGGTTCATCATTAATTCAGTCAGCACCTCAGGAAAAAACCTGCAGAAGATTCTATAGTACTTTCTAGCTAGTGGGGTTGTCACCTACCCTGGATATCTATCATTGGTAGTGGGACAGTATGGGGGGTATTAGGAAAAAAGAAGGATATCAAGGGGAATGTGAAAGAAACAAGGACAAACCTCTGGCATCTGTTAGAGGTGCTGAAGGAGAGGCTTTCCAAGGTTGAAGTTAGGACTAGGGTCAGTTAGGGTTAGTATTAGAATGGTTGTTCGGGTCAGAGTAAGGATCAGAGTTAGGTTGAAGGTTAACTTAGCTGACTGATTAGGTTTAGGGTAGAGTTTGGGGAATGGTCTCTTCAACTCTGAGATCCTATGACTCTCCTCTGACTCGAGGAGAGAGGTAAGGTTAGGTGTGCAATAAGAGGAAGAGCAAGGGGTGGCAGAAGAACACAGAGAAGCTCCTTCAATGAGTTCACGGCAGAGGTGCTTCGGTTAGTGGGATGTGGAAGAGCAGCAGCAGCTTTGTGAAATTTTTGTGTGAGATTTGGAAACTTAACCTAAACCACTGGCAAAAGCATAGCTGGGTATTACAATCAATGTTCATTTTGTACATAAATAGGTGCACAGTATTCAATATTAACATTGACCGGAGTCTGAAAAACTAGGATTGGGATTTCTCCTGGACTTATTCCCGGAACCACTTCACTTGTGACCACATTTAGAACACACTGACCCTGGGCCTAAGCTGGCCTTGGCCACCTGGCTTGCTTGGGACTTCAGCAGCTGTCCTTTTTCTCAAGACCTCCTCTCTGTCCTTTGTCCTCGCCCAGGCCTGATAGGAGTAGAACCATATGCTGTGGTTTTACCTGTTGCAATCTTTCCATGCAGGTTGCCCCCTCCCCCACCTCATGGAAGTTCCTCAAATACAAAAGTTACCCTACTGCTCTCAGAACTAGTGCATGCAGATCCAGGTGGGAAACTTACGAAAAGTTAGAAAACAAGGATGAAATACCCTTAGCTTGCTGTGTGCAGTAGCACATCACAGTCCTTCCAGGGGTAAGGCTGCAGAACTGCAGTCCTTTCTCAGCAGTGAGTTGAAGGGAAATGCTAGGGAATACAGAAAAAGACTCCTGGGAATAGAAGAGAGCTTCCTCAACCTCATAAACGACATCTGTGAAAAATCCACAGCTAACATCATACTTAATGGTGAAAGACTTGATGTTTTCCTGCTAAGATCAGGAACAAGGTGAGGATGTCTGCTCTCGCCACTTCTATTCAACATTGTGCTGGAGGTTCTAACTCAGGCAATTTGGCAAGAAAAAGAAATAAAACCATAAAGATTGGAAAAGAAGAAGTAAAACTCTTTCTCTTCACAGATGACATACTCTTGGAATACAGAAAATCTTAAGTAACTCACAAAAAACTATTAGCACTAATAAGTGAATAAGTACAGTAGAGTCGTAGAATACAAGATCAATATACAAAAATCTGTTGTATTTCTATACACTAGCAATGAACAATCCAAAAGTGAAATTAATAAAACAATTCCATTTACAATAGTATCAAAAAGAATAAAATACTTAGGGATAAATTTGATAAGAGAAGTGCAAGACTTGTACATCAAAAACTATAAAACATAACTGAAAGATATTAAAGAAGCCCTAAACAAGTGAAAAGAATCCCGTGTTCATGGACTGGAAGACAATATTGTTAAAATGACAATAATCCCCAAATTGATCTACAGATTCAATGCAATCCCTTTTAAATTCCCAGATACCTTTTTTGCAGAAATTGACAAGCAGATCTTAAAATTCATATGGAAATGGAAGAGACTCAGAATAGCCAAAAACAATTTCAAATAAGAACAAAGTTAGAGGACTCACACTTTCTGATTTCAAAACTTAGTGCAAACCTACAATAATCAAGAGTGTGTGGTACCAGAGTAAGTATAGACATATGGACCAATGGAATAGAATTGAGGGTCCAGAAATAAACCCTTACATTTATGGACAATTGATTTTTGACAACGGTGCCAAGACAATTCAGGCGAAAAGAATAGTCTTTTCAACAAAGGGTACTGAGACAACTGTATAATCCACAGGTAAAAGAATGACGTTAGACCTCTGCCCACGCCACATGCAAAAATTAACTCAAAATCAAAGACTTAAATGTAAGAGCTAAAACCATAAAACTCTTATAAGAAAACATAGGCATAAATCTTGAATGACCTTGAATTAGGCATTGGTTTCTTAAATATGACACTTAGAGCATAAGTGACAAAATATAAAATAGATAAATTGGATTTCATCGAAGTTAAAAACTTTTGTCCATCAAAGGACGCTATGTACCAAGAAAGTGAAAAGACAGCCCACAGAATGGGAGAAAATATTTGAAAAGCATATATCTGATAACGGACTAGTACCCAGAATATATAAAGAACTCTTACAGCACAACAATAAAAGACAACCCAATTAAAAAATGGACAAAATATTTTAATAGACTTTTACTCAACATCATTAAGTCATTAGGGAACAAAACCACAATGAGATACTATTTCACACTCACTAGGATCACTATAATAAAAAAAAGATGGACAATAACAAGTGTTGACAAGGATATGGAGAAATTGGAACTCTCATACATTGCTAGTGGGAATGTAGAACAGTGCAGCTGCCTTGGAAAACAGTTTGGACGTTCTTCAAAAAGTTAAACATAAAGTTACCATATGGCCCAGCAGTTTCACTCCTAGATATATACTTAAGAGAACTGAAAACATATGTCCACACAAAAATTTACAGGTGAACATTCATAGCAGCCACATTCTTAATAGCCTGAAAATGGAAACCACCCAAATACCCATCACCTGATGAATGAATAAACAAAATGTGGTCTATCGAGATAATGGAATATTATTTGACCATGAAAAGAAATGAAGTGCTGATGCATGTTATAACATGGATGAACCTTGATAACAGTATGCTAAGTGAAAGAAACCAGACAAAAAGGCCACATGTTGTATGATTCCATTTATATAAAATGTCCAGAATCAGCAAATCCCTAGAGACAGAAAGTAGATTCATGGTGCCAGGGACTGGGGAAGGGGCAAATGGGGACTGATTGCTAACGGGTACAGGGTTTCTTTTTGGGGTGATGAAAATGTTCTGGAATTAGATAGTAGTGTTGGTTGTACAACTTTGTGACTATACTAAAAATCACCAACTTGTGCACTTTAAAATGGTTATTTTAAAAAATTAGCTTTGGAAGAATATGTTTAAAATAAACACATAAAATAGATTCATCTCAAAAAAAGAAAGAAGGAAGGAAAAGATTTCCTAAGTAGGACCTGACATGTGTAACTACCATAGTCCCATGTAACTACTCGTATTCCCGTGTGATTATGGTGGTGAATTACCAAGGATATCTGCCTTGGTTTTCAGCAGAACTGTTGACCAACTGTCTTTTTTATGCCTTACTCCAAACAGTTCATCTTCGCTTTAAAACACCTATTTTGTAGCTCTTCTGTTATTTGCATTACTCTCTAACACATTTGAGTCCCGTAAAAGTAATTGCCAAGCTGGTCATAATGTAGGTAGACATGCTCTAATGTATATTTATTGGTTCCAGAGGTCCATTTATGTAATTCAGTTTATTTCAACAAATATTTATCAATTGCCTGCCATGGACCAAGTACTTAGGTAATGTATCAGTCACAAAAAAAGCAAAAAAAAAAGATGACGATGATGACAGAAGCCCTGTCTTTAAAGAGCCAAATAGATAATCAAATAAATTACAACAAGATGTGATAAATATAAATAAAAACGGATCTGGTGGGGAATGAAAGGCTGCTCAGTGAAGCCTATCTGGAAGAAGACACTTTGCAGAGTTTTCAAGAATTAATAGGAGTTCACCACATGACACATTTTTTTCTCAGAGACAAAATGCTCTCTTTAACAGCTTTGTTCTGAGTAGCCCCTATAGCCCACTTCACACATAATGTTGGGAAACAGTAGTACTAGCTGGATTAAGAGGCTTTAGATCAGGGGTCATGCTATTCAGGAGGAGGTAAAAAGTTCCCTTTATCTTTCCTTAGAACAGGGCTAGCTTTAGATGAAATTTTGAAGAAAGGCAAAGTCTGTCTGTGGTATATTCTCACCTCTTTTTATGTATCTAGAAATCTCTCGTCAGCTTCTCTCTGAAGGCTCTGCCTCCCCCACTACTCTTGTTACAAGACAAGTACCAAAACCCATTGCTGTCAAGTCAATTCTGACTCTATAAGACATAGTAGAACTGCCCCATAGAGTTTCCAGGGAGCAGCTGGTGGATTCAAACTGCTGACCTTCTGGTTAGCAGCCAAGCTCTTAACCACTGTGCCACCAGGGCTCCAGACAAGTACCACATGCTACTTACTATGAGATCACCTTCTTCCACTCTCACCCCCATCCTACCCTTGGCTAATGAGTTAGGAGAACAATATGATTAAATACAGCAGATGCTTGGCATTTTTGTAGACTTACTCTTCAGGGTTTTTTTTTTTTTTGCTATTTTCAAACACCTGTAACGGTCCTTGACACAGAGTAATTTGGAGTTTTTCTGAGTAATAAGTTTAAATCACAAGTCACTTAGTAACCCAGCTGAACATCTTCATCCACATCTTTGTGATTATCTTTTCATTGTCGTGACTACAGTAATTTTTGAGAAATAATGAAAATAAATACTGCTTAGTGAAAACATGGTCTCCAAAAGAAAACCAACATCTAGTGCTAGTAACAAATGTAAAAAAAAGTTGAAGAAAATGATGTCTCTTAACCACGAATACTGTTAACTGTATAAATGATTTTACCCCTGCATGAAGGACACACTTAAATTTTTAAAATGTGCTTCAAAGTGGGGTCATTCATTCACTAATTCTGTCAACACGTATTTCTTAAACAGGTACTGTGTTAGTGTAATCTGACCCTATGAATGCTAGTAAATTTCCATTAGTCCTTAAACTAGCCCAAGCCAGAGTTGGCCTGCCCCGCATGCGCGGAAGGGCTAGCTGTGACCACTAATTGACCTCAATAGAAGACGCAGCAACAGGTGGAACAAATCAGAAGGAAAATCATCACCCAGACCCATTCCAAAGCAAGAGGTCCAACAAGAACCACATCATCTCCTGGTTCCTGGCTGCCTTCTAGAATTTTCCCTCTCCAGTACATCTGCGCGGTTGCCATCTTGCTGCCCAAATCACATATAAGCCCTGCTTCCCCATAGCTTGGGGAGCCGGATCTGAGGAACTTCCTCCTGGCTGCTTGCTCTGTGCATTGTAATAAAGTTACTTTCTCTTTGTCAAAGACCAGTGTCCAGATAATTGGCAAGTCTTAGCAAGCTGGACAAGGACCCACCTTTCCAGGTTCAGTAATATTAGGACATGGAAATACAAAAACAGTGACATTTTCTCTGGTCTCATGAAGCTGAAAGTCTATCAGGGAAGCCAGACATTAAGCAAGTAAATACAGTAAAAAGGCTGTGAGTATTCTGATAGACGAAGCCCAGAGAACAATAGGAACAGAAGGCAGGGGACTACCAAACCACAGTCCAGGAGTGTGAGAAAGTGATGGTTAACCTGAGACCAGAAGAATGTGTGGGGAGCGATTTAGGCAGAGAATTGGAAGGTTTACTAGTCGTGAAAGGAGCCCGGGTGGTGCCAGTGGTTAAAGCACTTGGCTGCTAACCAAAAGGTCAGTGGTTAGAACCCACCAGTTGCTCTCGTGGGAGAAAGATGTGGCAGTCTGCTTCTGTAAAGATTTACAGCCTTGGAAACTTTATGAGACAGTTCTACCCAGCCCTGTTGGGTCATTGTGAGTTGGAATTGACTCAACGGTAACAGGTACTAATCCTGAGCTACCTAACTTCAAAATCTGATAACCAGGGAAGAACAAACACCCTATGGCACGGAGGGCAGGGTGGTGCTCTCTGGTTGATTCATATCACAAAAGGATGTATGAGTGACTTTGGTATTAAACACAGCTTGGGTTCGCCAAGGTGGTACATTATTTATTTAAATAAGAATGTAGTTTTGAGCATTCTTATTTCCTCCTCAGGTGCAACCAAGAACTATGCTCATCCCAGATGATCTGAAACTCTCCTTTGAGAATTTTATGAGTCATAGGTAAGTCAAAGATTCAAGTCAGGATATGGCTTTAATTCTGGTTATATCTGGGGGACACAGAACAGTAGATTGAGAAACGTGGTAAGTAGGTTCTTAGAGAATGCTTAGGGAATGGACTTCTTGACTGGTTTCATTTTCTGGCTAACTATAGTGAAACCAAAAATATTTTTCATAGTTTTGCTTGAACAGCTGTTGAAACTACTGTAGAAAGTATTATCTTTCCACCTTCACAAGAGCAGTCTAAGGAATAGCATAGGAGATGTCTTTGGTAACTCAGGCAGAACAAAATACAAATTGCCCATACAGATGACATATCTAATTCAGAAGGCAAGGGAGATTACACACAATCTGTCCTGAGTTCAGAACAACCTCTGCTACTTTTTAATAACTAAATCCGTGTTATTAGTTTACTTTGTTGTCATTTGCTGCTTTCTTATCAAGATCAAGTGCAACAGAAATTCTAGTCGGAATTCTGATTAGAATATAAATAATTGTGTTTTTCCCCTGTATTTAACTTTCAGAAGGGGGAAAAGGACTCAGTGTTTACTTTCTTCAAAAATTCAAAACAGGTACTCACCTGGTATAGGGCACCAGTGTAGGTAGACCTGCCTTATGATTGAAATGTAGAAATACAGCCAGCCTTATATATGATCAACCAGAGAAGTTATGTGTAATCTAATGGCGTTCTTTAAATCTTTCTTCCTCATATAAAGAACAGTAATGTGGAAACATAAATAGGTCTTTTTTTGTAACCTTACATTGCACAGCAGCATATGTTCTGATTGCTTTTATGAACTCAAGGTCATTTGTTCCAGGCTGAGATTTGGACTCAGATACATTGAAACTATGTACCAGGTGCCTGGCCCAGGTAGACGGGGTGATAGAGGACATGAGTATTTGAGCAGTACAAGCTCCAGCCCTAATCACATTTATCCTATACCGATTCTGGAGCCTTGGTGACACAGTGGTTAAGAGCTATATGACTGCTAACCAAAAGGTCAGCAGTTCAAATCTAGCAGCTGCTCCTTGGAAACCCTATGGGGCAGTTCTGCTCTATCCTGTAGGGTCACTATGAGTTGGAATCGACTGTGCACCAGTTCTGGAGCCCTGCTGGCGCAGTGGTTATGAGCTCAGCTGCTAACCAAAAGGTCGGCAGTTCGAATCCACCAGCCACTGCCTGGAAACCCTGTGGGGATCTTCTACTCTGTCCTATAGGGCCACTGTGAGTTGGAATTGACTCAGTGGCAACTGGTGTGGTTTGTTTGTTTTTAAATACTGATTCTATAATTCCAAAGAGCTCTTATATCAGATCACAATAAAAATAATTCTAATAAATATTCTTTATGGACTTTAAATGAATAACTGGACTATCTAAAATCAGGGATTTCTGAGCAAAAGTTTACTCTTCTATGGAGGATACTTTTGACAATTATTGCCCCATTTAGTTCATCTTGCTAGTGTGGCACTTTAAGTAAAGTCCCACATCCCAGAATCATTAACTGGTTTTATTTTAAACAAATAGCTCTTATCCCTTTAAAGCTAAGACCAAGTGTTGAACCAGTCCTAAAATCACATCAACACCAACCAGAAGTGTCATAAAATTGTCATTTTTTTCATGTTATGAAGGAACATGCACCACTTCTGTTTGACACTTATCTAGTGTGACTATAAAGTAGTGCGTCTGATTCTGTTTATAGCTTATAAAATCAGTCCTCATATTTTATTAGTTTCACTACATATATTACAAAAAAACAAAAACAACCCGGTTGCTGTCGAGTCACTTCTGACTCATAGCAACCCTACGGAACAGAGTAGAATTTCCCCATAGGGTTTCCAAGGAGTGGTTAGTGGATTCAAACTGCCAACCTCTTGGTTAGCAGCCAAATGCTTAACCACTGGTGCCACCAGCGTTCTCCTGCATATATAGGCCTGTGGAATTGTCTTCACTGAAATAATACAATTTTTTAAAAGTGACTTTAATTATAGCCATTACAGGAATTAAAATGATGTTTGTTGGAAGGAAGGAAGAAAGGAAGGGAGGGAATGAGGAGGGCAGGGAGGAAGGAGAGAAAAAGGAAAGAGAAAGGAAGGGAAGGAAGGGAGGAGGGATAGAGAGAGGGAGAGACAAAGGAAAGATGCATGATGGGTGATGAATGGATGGATGGATGGATATTTATTGAATTACAGTGTAGAAAGAATCTTAAGCTATTCAGTCCTACAAATACCATCTGCCTGTTTTGCCCAAAGTGGTTAATAAAAGGGGTTTTTCTCTTTTTCTCAATCCCAATGAGTATTCCAATGGCAATTGAATAAAATATAGTGGCTGAACTGACTTTTATTTCTTAGCAAAGCAAAAATGATCTTGAAAGATCTTTATGAAAATAGAAACCATGAAATAAGTGTAGATCCTTAGACAGACCATCAAAGTTAATAGGTTTATCAGTTTTTAGAAATTAAGCATTTTAAACAAATGTAGAAATGATTTGGTCTCATATACAGCCTTGGCCATCAGGAGAAATACGATGTGGTCGAGACGTTTTTCTCTAAAATTGAAAGGTTCCAGCCAAAATATTCTCTCAATTTTGCTCTTGAAGGGCAGATTACTGATCTGGAAGAGTTGCTACCTTTTTTTTCCTGGAAATTGGAGGATGTGTTATTTAATCCCTCCTGTTTTCAGACTATGCATGTTTTGACAGTAGGATAAAACTTTTTTTTTTTTTTTACGATGAAGGTTTTCTTGAAATCCATAAAAATGCCATAAGTGAAAACAGCTTGATAACTAGTAGCCCCAGTCACCTCACACTGCTGCACAAGTGGCCTAGTCACCAGGTTAACAGATACGGGAGTCAAGAGACCATCTGTGTTTTAAAGATACATCCCTTTCCACCAAGCCCTCACCAATTAACTGATGTGTATTCTTGCTCCCTCCAATCAGGATGATGGGTCTTCACCCACCAAGAGCCAAGACTGTACCCAAACTTCCCCATGATGACATCCTGACAGGTTTGGTTTCTTTTGGAGTACTTATAGTGTGAGACAGACTACCCCGGGGTGGGAGAATGAAAAGTTTAATCCCTGAAATAATTTCTAAATTTTCTGAACAAATTCCCGTTCCTTGTCCCTTTCTGTTTCACGTGTTGCTCTTTTGTCCTGCTTTGACTGGTCTTCAGCCCTCCACTCTCTCCAAGCCCACCTGTCCCCTCTTCAGGCTTTACTTGCCCTTCTTATCTGTGTCACTTTCCTTCCCAAGCCGGTTCCGTGCCACATGGCTCTGCCCCATTCCTTCTAAAGAGCCCTGTAATCTACTTGCTGAGGAATTTGCATACGTATGTGGTAGAAACTAGATATAAGTCCCCTGACGAGCAGCCCTGATGGTACCAATTAAGGTGGGAAGGGAGCTGCGTGTGCACATGCCTGAAATTGCCTCACCAGGGCCCTCAACCTTCCACCCCTGCAGGTCCCCTAAAACACCTGCCTTCTCCCAGCAGCTGACTGGTGCTATTTTTATCTTTGCTATTGATAGAAAAAAGGATAGAGGCTCTGTCTCCAGCTTCAGCATTGACCTAAGTCTCATCCTTTACAGAAGCCGACTTGTGAAGGTGGGAGGGGTCATTTTTTGAGGAGATACCGTTTGAAGGTTTAGTGCAGCACAGGCTGTCACCTTAGTAACTTTGTCCTTCTTTTCATTTGCTCCCATATTAACTGAGCCATCTAAAGTTTTTTCTTTAATTTGATACACACAATAAGGAAAATCAAGACTACTTTCTTCATTTTGTACAGATGGGGAAGTCTAAGCTCTATCCTGGGAGTTGCAGGGGAGCTAGAGTCAAACTGAGCTGAGAAAGCATCTAGAAAGGAAATTTGAGGATAGAGGAATGTCTGCGGGGGGGAGGGGATGCCAAAAGGAGGACCAGAGACCAAGGTAAGAGCTGAAGCTTGGACATGTTGCTGTAGTGGTGTGAGAGGCTGTTAGTCCCACTGAGTCCCTTCTTATGTGCCCAAAAACATTGGCCTAGTTCATGGCTCTCATTTAGCCAAAGTGGACAGAAGAGCCTAGAGCTAAGAGCATTCACCCAAAGAAAGCTCCACACTCTGCTGGTCTGTGATGACCTCATTCTCTTGAAGCCAAAAGAACACTGGGTGACAGGCATGTGCAGTTTGTTTCAAGGCTTTCTGTACCAGCCACACATTCATTCAGAGTTTCCCTTGGACCTGGACTTTTTCAGGCCTGCTCTCACAAAGGGATGAACCAACCAACTCCCCCTCCCCCAACACACACACACTATTACATGCCCTTCCCTCAGCAACAATGTTTATTTTCTGACCATGGAGGACAGAGTAACAAGATGCCTTTCATCAGCTTATTAGCCCTAGCAGTATACTTCAATTAGCAGTGAAAGAGCTAGACATGGTGTACACAAGATCGGTACATTATGTTCTTAGACAGAACCTGGTTCTTGCCCACATAGTCCAACCTAGGACAGCAATATTGGAGGTGAGGTTTGCAGGAGAGTGGTTGTGGAGCTGACTAGGAGCTGAAGCTTAGTAGATCTACAGTCAACTCTAGTTGTGACCCTTCTGAGCTAAGCCTTGGCCTTGTGTTGTTCTCTGAGATAATGGAAAAAGAGTAGTCTAGGAGCAAAGAAACCTGGAATTGGAGCCTAGCCTTGCTGTATAGGCTTGGCCAAATGTTTAAACCCTCTGGGCTTCGATTCTCAACCTGTAAAACCAGAGAACCGTTTGCCCCACTGAGAGCCAGACACTCAGCACAAGCAGCCTTCCCCTTTGGTCGACCCAGGCAAACTGCTGACGCTGCCCTAGCCTCACTGGTTTATGTAGCTTAGGCATATTCATATTGCAGCACTTGCTGCTTATTGCTGGGCTGTGTTCCCTGTGGACATGCCACAAATACCACATGGCTGACTCATTCCAGCAAACATTATTGCCAGTGGTTGTTTGACTCATTCTGTTGGTCACAACAGTGATTTCTATCTACTCTTTTTCTGGATTCAACTAAACCTTATATATTACCCATTATTCTTAATGAGACCCAAGCGAGTGAAAAGGGCCTATCTACACAAGTGATGGGGATTCCTTCTGGTTTCATTTATCTTTCCCTTTGCCAAGCATCCTGTGACACTTGGTCATGATAAACATTGCTACAGATGCTAACCACCTAACTTGGGCTATCACCTGGCACAGGGTGGTAGTTAGCACTGGGTTAAGATTGAAGAAATCTGGGTTCTGGTCCTCAGCTCATCAGTGCCTGTGACCCTGGACCTCTGTTTCCTCTTCATTACAGTGATGAGACTGAACTGGATCCTGGGTTTGTATGAGTCTGTAACATCTCTAAGCTCTCATTTAGCTGGACGGAGGAACTTGTTCCAAAGAAGTCAGGGCTCCAATTCCATTAATTATTCGGAGACTCCCAATGGGAAAGGGTTATTTCATGCACTGATTTACTCTCCTTCAAGTGATGTGTCTTCCTGAAAAGCTGAATACTAACCAACTTTTTGTAAATAAAACCACATTCGAAAAACAGGTCAGGGTGTTAAGGATTTTAAAGACGCCTAAAATAAATTATTTCATAAACCGAAGGTTCCTTTTGAAATGCAACCACTTTCTCACTTCTTTGTAAGATTATGTTTTGTTTTAGTTTTTTAAAAAGTTCAGAACAATGTATGTGGTCCCTGAAAAGTCTCCTGAGAATTGAATCCTCTTTTCCCTTTGGTTCACATTACAACTCCAGACATATTTTATCTTCATTTCAATTCAATTGGTGATGGCTCCTGATACTTGAATTGTATGTCTCTAGGTACTTCTTTCTGGCCTCTTTGATGAGATTTGTAAAGGCTTAAGTGTTGTGAGGGATAAGGTGGTTCTATTCAGAGAATTCTTCTGTGAATTTTGAATCTGTTTTATAAGGTTAAGAAGGCCTTTGGTGTCCTTTAGTTATTTTGAGTTTCTTTAAGGGTACAACATAAGCAGCCCTTGTTCTTTCTTCTTCTTGCATTGCCTTCCAGAGAACATTGACTACAGACTGCCCATTCTGGGCCCTAGGACAGCTGTCTTCCAGGACCTGCTCTCAGATGCCTACAGAACTCTGCAGGAGAGGCAGCTCTCTTCCTTGCCCAGAAAGGGGCCAATTAGCAAGACAATGAGGCGGTGAGTGGTCTGGGCTCATCTCTTCCGGACTCCCAGAGAGAAAACAACCTCACCAAACCAATCTCTGACATTGGGGCTCTCTCCTCATACTTTCCTCCTATTTCCAATAACGTGACTCAGTTTTGCCTTCCTAACAGTTGCTGGTATTCTAGTTCTTGTTACTATCTTCTCACCTACTTCTCCCAAAGACAAAATGGCTTAATTATATGATTATAAAAATTTATTGATTGAAATAGAGCCATGTAAGTGTGTCTCGTTTTATTTGGTTAAAGTTTCTTATCCATGTTATAATAGACAATAGTTTTCCGTTTCTAAGACATGAATATTTTGTGAAAGTTATTTCAGCTCTTCCTTCAGGGCAGGGGGCTAGAGATGGCCCCAGGGGATCCTATATGAATTTAGTCTGTTAAGAAAGAAGGAGAGAAATGGAGGTCACCCTTCTGTGCTTATGTCTGTCAGTTTATGCAGGTAAATGACCAGAGGATACTTTGATGCAAAACTGGAAAATGGCAAGTGATTAATTGTTACAACCCATGAGGACAGTAACTGTGCCTTGCCCTGCCCTCCCCAGTCACCTCCTTTACTGCCTTGCATATATCAGATATACAGCTAATCTTTGCTCATTCAAATCCACGCCAAGTGCTTATGTTTTGTAGCTTGGTTACTTTGGTTTGAGGATGTACACCTCCACATCTGTCCTAGTCTACATGTCAGCAGTATGAGGGAGTCAAAGGAAAACTCGAGGCTCCCAACTATTATATTTATGGGCACATATGCTCTGTGCTCAGCTTCAGGAAGGCTCATATAAAAAAGACCCCTTCCATTCCTTAAGACGCAGTGACCTTGTGGAATCCCAGGATTGTGACCGAATGGACACTGGACCAACAGGTGAGAACCGGCCTATGTGCTGAGTCTGTTTGAAGAATGGGCTTCAGAAATCTAGACCAAATGGCCTGGTGCCTAAACAGACCTCATATGATTCTTAACTTCACTCCGGTTCAAGAACTCCAACAACAGTACCCACTTCCTGTCAAGGTGAAGGCTGTGTGCATTGATTCTGATCTCATTTCGTATAATTGTCAAAATATAGACATGTCACAGGTAAAAGAGTTTTCTTCTTTAGATTTTCACAAATTAACATATCCAGTAACAGGATGTTTATACTCATGCCATTAAGGGGGAATGCATGCCCAAAAAACAATTACTTGGAGCTTTTGAGATAATCTGAATATCGTATGGCTAAGGAGCCCTGGTGATGCAGTAGTTAAGTGCTCAGATGTTAACCGAAGGGTCAATGGTTCGAACCAATGGGAGAAAGATGTGGCAGTCTGCTTCCATAAAGATTACAGCCTTGGAAACCCTATGAGGCAATTCTACTCTGTCCTATAGGGTCACTATAAGTCAGAATTGACTTGATGACAGTGGGTTTGATCGGGTTTAATGAGATAGAGAGCCATAGTGACACAGTGGTTAAAGCGCTTGGCTGCTAACCAGAAGGTCCACGTTTCAAAAGAAGCAGCCGCTCTGTGGGAGAAAGATGTGGCAGTCTGCTTCCGTAAAGATTTACAGCCTGAAAACCCTATGGACAGTTCTACTCTGTTCTATAAGGTTACTATGAGTTGGAATCGACTCAATGGCAGTAGGTTTTGTTTTTGGGTTAATGTGATGGAAAGAAGCCCTGGTGGTGCAGTGGTTAAGCAACCAAAGGGTCGGCAGTTCCAAGCCACCATTAAGGGGGAATGCATGCCCAAAAAACAATTACTTGGAGCTTTTGAGATAATCTGAATATCGTATGGCTAAGGAGCCCTGGTGATGCAGTAGTTAAGTGCTCAGATGTTAACCGAAGGGTCAACGGTTCGAACCCATGGGAGAAAGATGTGGTAGTCTGCTTCCATAAAGATTACAGCCTTGGAAACCCTATGAGGCAGTTCTACTCTGTCCTCTAGGGTCACTATAAGTCAGAATTGACTCCACGGCAACATTTTAGTTTTTGGTTTTTTGATAATGAGATAGAGGGCTCCTGGGTGGCACAAACAGTTAACCAAAATGTTGGCGGTTTGAGTCTACCCAGAGGTGCCTCAGAAGAAGGCCCTCCTGATCTACTTCCGAAAAATTAGCCACTGGAAACCCTATAGAGCACAATTCTACTCTGACACACATGGAGTCGCCATGAGTCAGAATCAACTCAATGGCAACTGATTTGAGTTTTTTTGGTTAAGTGAGATAGAGTGCTTCCTAAACCTCATTAAGAAGTCTTCATGTAGGATGCTTCCAAAATCTCATTAAAAAGAACATTCTAGTGTTGACTGGTGTCCCAGCATGCTGACAGAGAAAGATGGTGTATTTTAGTAGTTTTTGAACTTTTTAGTTGTAGGAACCTTTTACACACTTAAGTATCGAGAAAGGTAAATAACTTTTTAAAATGTAGTGCATAGCTGTTGATATTTATCATATTAGAGATCAAAGTGGAGAAATTTTCAAAACACAAGAATACACAAGCACACCTTCCGTTAGCTGCCAGAGTGATGGCATTATCACATGTCATGTAGCCTCTGGAAAACTCCACTGTACCCTGTGAGAGAAAGAGAATAAAAAGGCAAATAACACCTTAGAATTATTGTGAAAATGATTTTGACCTCACAGGTACTTTGAAAGGGTTTCATAGATTCCCCAGACCACACTTTGATAACTTCTGGTCTATGTGAGGATACCCTTTTGCCTCCGTCCCTTCAGGGAAAGTGATGCCAAGATGCTTTCACACACCGACCTGAGTAATCAGATTCCTCTGACATAGGATTTAGAACAACAGGAGCAGCAGGTTTTCAGAGTTAAATGATGCTACTGACTTGTAGCATAATTTATCACCTTATGCTCAGATTGTCTACCCAGCAACTTTATAATCTTAGTTTGGTTTCTCAAATAGTGTCCCAAAGAGAATTGAGTGGATTGACCAGCTGTCACAAGAATTCTAGTTCCCTTTAAACTGTCATTTCTCTAGATGGGTGGTTTGTTGATTAGTTTATTTGCTATTGGTTAGTGTGAACTCACTTCCCAGAATCTGAGGTCCAAACCTGGACCAGTGTGGCCTTAGCACACTAGTGATGCCCCTTCAGAGATGCTCCCTCAGCAGCTCTGTTGAATGGCTAGCCAGCTGGTTAATTTCCTCTTTTCCTTTGCTCCTGTAACCAAATCCTGGAGAGTAATGGCACTGAGGGATGAATTTCCTAAATTAAGAAATCCTGCTGTGACAAACTTTGCCACATGACCAACCTAGTGCCACCATTTTTATTTAAACTTGAAAAGAGATCTTCGTATACTTATGCTGCCTGATTTTATCTACCAGTAGTAAATGTTTAAAAGAAATAATCCTACCTATGGAAACCTTTGCTTCCACTTGTGATGTGGGGTGAGATGGTTGCCTTGTCATCGCTTTTGGTACAACCTTTCCTATACAGAGTTGGGTCCTTAGAGGTAATAATGTGGATGTGGCAGTTATTATTTTATCTACAGTATGTTCCTAGGCTTTATCCCAAAACCTCTCGTCAATAGGCCAGGGCAATTTCTTCATTATGAAAATCTAGTCATAATGTTATTTACGGTTCGAAGTCATGTACAGTTCAGATTAATTTTACCAAATGGTTGATCTTGGGTTGCTTTTTGTTTCAAGACTAACATCTGATTTTGTTGTTCTTAAAAAAAGACAGACTCAGTAAAAATCAACAGGCGTGAATCAGACTTACTCCTACTCTTTCTTTTTCCTTCACCCCAACAGAGAACTTAAAAACCAATCAATCAGCACAATTCCTTCATTCCCCGGAATGCAGAGAAATGCTGTATTCAAGGAAGAGTCATGCTATAGCTTTAAAAATATAATTTTTCAGGTATTTAACTCAAAATCATTGTCACATTCAGTTGACAGCTTAACCTTGGGAAACCCTGCGGGCCTCCAAGGCCGTGTGCTCTGTTCAGAGTCACTCATCGTTTCCCTTGTCTCCATCCAAGCTCAGGGGAGGCCTGTCAGGGGACCTGTTAGCTCCTGGGACTTGTGATATCACACTGGAGCTTCCCGTTGTACTAAATAGCAGAAGTGTAACAAGTTTGGCAGAGCTGACTTGTCTCCTCCTAAGGAAAGCCCTATCTAGAATGTTCCTATTTAGGTGCAGTTACTCAAGTCAGGGGGCATCTTTGGGATGAGGAGCATAGAAGATTTGCAAGATGAGGAGGAAGCTCAGGCCTTGTTTCTAATAATCAACCTCAAACATTTTATTCTCTATAAACTAAATCCTTACGAATCAAGGTTAAATTAGAAAATTTTAGAAATGGACAAAATGTAACTAACTACCTGCTAGGGGAAATGGGGATGACTGATTCTGTTTCAACCATGTCCGCCTCAAGCCCGTCCTAATGTAGCACTTTATTAAGTACGGTCCCTGTGTCATATATGCAACTCTTACCTCTCTAGAAAATATATAACTTAATGGGGACAAGAAGAGTATTTCATGCTAACATTATATCCCCACAGGAGCTACCCAGACACATACTTGAGAGATATTCAGAATAGTGAAAAGGCTTGTCAAACACTATGATAAAATAATTGAGCTAAGATCCCTGAATTTGGGCTCTGAAGATACAAAGGGTTTAGATATTAGAATCCTGCCTCTGAAGAACTTACAATTTTAACTGGAGAAATAATGCACACACACACACATGCACGTGCACACCTGCACACGTAAATGAAGAGCGCGGACGCGGGACAGAACGTGAGTAAGCACAAATTCCTCTCTACTATAAACTGAACATCCTGTGATTACAGCAATAACGTTCTCCATGACGCAACTGTCCAACTCTCTGGACAGGAACAAAGATGCAATTTTGTGACCCTGTCAGGAACGTTGGTGTGGGGGCGGGGGGGGGGAATAGCCACATTCAGGCACACAGGATGTTATCTTGTTCTTTGCAAAGTCTTTGGCAAGATGTTTAACTGCCTGGGCAGTCAACTGCAGAATAGTGAAATTGGGCACTGGGAGATGCTTGCTGTTGCAAGGAAAACTTGTTCCTAAAACTCTTGGGTTGTCCTCCACTCAGTCTTGTGTAGCAGAGATCATCCTGAGGGATGTCACACAGCCAGAAAAGTCAGGAAGCCCTGACTTCCTAGATTCTCACACCGAGAAATTGCATAAAGAGTAAGATGTGAGAAAATAACAGGAAAGAGATATTGGCACATTAACTGCCAGTGAGGAGTGGAACTGGGTGGCTGGGGGGACAGAAATTTCGAGGGGGCATTTTTCACATTATAATTTACTCTTTGAATTTTGAATCATTTGAATGTTTCACTGATTCAAACACAAAACAGAGTGAAACAAACTAAAAACCTTTT